TCATTGTTGTTTGGCGGGTCCGGGCTGGGGATTCGAACCCGCCACCTTAGGTGTACGTGGCTGGCGCCTTAGCCTGTTGAGCTATAGGCGCCGAGCCTCTATAAACTACTTCTGCTTCCCTTGAAAGGTCATGTGGAGGCGAGGTGAAAAGAAACTTCCAAATGGTAGGGCTGGGGACGTGCCAGAAGCGGCTGCCGGCAGGCACTGCGGGTCTTAAATGAGATAACTGCTTCTGGCTCCGCTGGCTCCTTCAAGGGGCTGGCTGCTCTCTGCCCATAAGAGTCATGGGCTCACCCGGGCCACATGATCAGGGTCAGCTGTGCTGGTTTTGAAAGCATTTTGTTAAAAGGGAGAACAAGTAAGAAGAATCAGGAAGGGACAGAGAAGAAACAGAGACAACCATTAAACACCAGGGCAGAGGTGAGCACGCTGACAGCAGGAACCATCGCAGGGTCCCCTGGCTAAACACATGTCCTGCTGGAGATGTGGCTAATGACAATGGCAGCCATGTCCCACCACGGGGCAGGCGTGGAAGCTTCCATTTCTCCACATTCACATGGCTGGCACGTGGGAGCTGGGATTTGCTTTTGGCTCTGTCTGTGCAAAGCCTCATCTCTGACCCGCAGGGGATCGGACAACAGTGGGGAAGCAGGAGCCCTCCTAGCAAACGACCTTCCTGTTCAGTAGCAAGAGCCGTTAAGAAAGATGAACTTAAGATAAATCCTGACATCACGCCATTCATCCATGCGAGAGTGTGTGTGTGTGTACACATGACATAATGCTACCCCGTCTGGGTCCCCACCCTGCCATTTCCTCTCGGGAACCCTGTGCCAGCCCTGAGTCCCCTCTCCCAGGGATTTCTGCTTCTGGGCTTTGTTTATGTTGCCACAGGGTATTTTGGCCTTTCCCTTCCTCCTCCTGGGCTTCCCTCCTGTCCCCTCCCCTGCCATCCCTTCCTGTTGCCCAGCTCCCGGTCAGCTTCCTGCATTCTCTGTTCCGGTGGCTGCTCCCTCCTCGCACTTACCTGTCTGGGGCCACTTCACCTACTCTGCTTTGAATGCAGTTTTTCCAGGGTGTTTCACTTCGGCACTCTCTTATCACCAAAAGCTGGCTTCTTGTTTGCTTAAAAAAAAAAATTGTGGTAAAATACATGTAATGTAACATTTGCCGTTAATCATTTTTAAGGCTGGGCAGGATGGCTCACGCCTATAATCCTAGCACTCTGGGAGGCCAAGGCGGGAAGATTGCTTGAGCTCAAGAGTTCGAGACCTGCCTGAGCAGAAAGCAAGACCTTGTGTCTACTAAAAATAGAAAAACTGAGGCACAGGGATCGCTTGAGCCCAAGAGTTGTAGGTAGCTGGGAGCTATGATGCTACGACATTCTATCCAGGGCAACAGCTTGAGACTCTGTCTCAAAAAAAAAAAAAATCTTTCTTAAGTGTACAGTTCAGTGGCCCTGCGTACAGCCTCACTGTTGTGCAGCCGTCACCGCCATCCTTATCTCCAGAACTCTTTCCATCTTGCAAAACTGGAACTCTGCACCCATTAGACACTAACTCTCCAGTCCCCCACTCCCCGTGGCCCCAGCAGCCACCTTTTTATTTTCTGTCTCTTCCTGTCTCTTCCTTAAAATCCTGTAAGTAAGTACCTTGCATAAGTAGAATCACACAGTATTTGTTCTTTAGTGACTGACTTGTTTCACTTAGCATAGGTTGAACCATGTTGTACGTACGGTGGAATTTCCTTCCTTTTAAAGGCTGGATAGTCGACCATTGAACGTATGTGCCATGTTTGTGTATCTCTTCCTCCACCGATGGTTGCTTGGTTTTCTTCTTTTGGATATATAGCCAGAGGTAGAATTGGTGGGTCAGATGATAATTCTATGTGGAAGTTTTTGAGGAAGTGCCAGGCTGTTTGCCACGGCAGCTGTGTGATTGTACATCCCCGTTAGCAGTGCACCGGGGCTCGGTTTCTCCACATCTTCGTTGCACTTGTTTCCTAGTTGTTTTGTTTTTGTTTTTCTTTTTGATAGTAGCCATCCTTTGGTATCCAAAGCAACCCCTTTGTTGCTTCCCAGGGGTTTGCACAGAGTAGATGCCCCATCGCCTTTTGTTAAATGGGTATTTTCACTGATACGAATAGTCTTATGAGATGGAGTTTAGCAGAGGGGCATCTGCCCATTTCAAGGTTGTTAGTAGCTGTGTAGTGTCTCCTGTACCGTTGAGTTTAGCAAATTCTGCATAAACACAGATAAACAGGTGTCTTCCCTGTAGGGTCTCTCTGGTGTCTTGGCACATTTTATGGGGCAACTCCTAAACTTACTCAGTGGGGGGGGGGTTCCTCTTCTTTCCACCTGCCCTATAATTTTGAGAGCCTGTTTGTTCTTTGTGGGAAATATATTTGCCTTTGAAAAGTAGCAATGCCTCCTGAAATCTTGCATTGTGACCAAAATGCATCTCTGTTGAACAGGACCTTCTGCAGATTCGATCGCATGTGTACGCGGAAGAGCCAAGTATTGACATTCACAACTTCCTGGGAACTTTTACCAGGGTAAGCAAGCTCACTGTGGTGTAGAATCCTGCCTGAGAGTGTGTGTTAGGGATGAAGGCCTTTGTAGAAGAGTTGACTGGTCTTTGTTAGGAAGTAATTTTAGGATACATTGGGGGTGGTGGTGGTGAGATTTCCTTAGGAGGACCCCAACCTTGGAAGCTGACATTGTTTCTCAGTAAGAGTTTTCTCCCGGGTTTGGAACAGCTCGAATTACCTGACAACTTGGAGCCAGGCATTGCTATAATTAATGTTAACTCCAGTGTCTGAAAGCAGTTACTCTTTCTGTCTCTTTCAGATGGGTGTATGTCCTCTTTCATTTGTATAAATCCTGTCTGCCATTTTTGTAATTTTTAATCCACTTGCAGACCTTTCAGAAAAGAAATTTAGTTTGGTGGGCAACGCCTGTGGCTCAGTGGGTAGGGCGCCAGCCCATATACTGAGGGTGGCGGATTTGAACCAGGCCCGGTCCAGCTAAAACAGCAGTGGCTACTGCAACAACAAATAGCCAGCATTGTGGCGGGTGCCTGTAGTCCCAGCTACCTGGGAGGCTGAGGCAAGAGAATCGCTTAAGCCCAAGTTGGAGGTTGCTGTGAGCTGTGATGCCACAGCACTCTACTGAGGGTGACAAAATGAGACTGTCTCAAAACATAAAAAATTTAATTTGTGTTTAAATTATAATGATGATGATGAGACAGAGTCTCACTCTGCTGCCCTGAGTAGAGTACCATGGGGTCATCTTTGCTCACAGCAACCTCAAACTCTTAGACTCAGTGGATCCCCCTGCCTCAGCCTCCCGAGTAGCTGGGAGCACAGGTGCCCACCACAATGCCTGGCTAGTTTTTCTATATTTAGTAGAGATGGGGTCTTGGCTTTGCACAGGCTGGTCTTAAACTACTGAGCAGAAGCAATCCACCCCTTCTTAGCTTCCCAGAGTGCTAAGATTACAGGTGTGAGCCACTAGACTCAGTGTGATTTAATTATTTTAGGAATCCAAGACATAGATCTCTATTTATTTATTTATTTATTTATTTTTAAAATGTGGTAAGTAGCTCCATGTTTATTTATTTACTTATTTATTTATTTTTGCAGTTTTGACCGGGGCAGGGCTTGAACCCTCTACCCCAGGTATATGGGGCCGTTGCCCTACCCCTTGAGCCACAGGTGCCGCTCCAGGACGTGGATTTTTAGAAAAGTTAAATTATCCATGTTCTCTTTCTATAAGCCATAACCCAGCCAGCAAAGAGCCTCACTGGTTTGCTTCCATGTTGCGGTTCTGACCTTGTAAACATTTCCTCAGTGGTGGAGCCCTGTATGTACTTCCTACATCAAATGAGAATCCAAGGACTGAGGACCTGGCTGTCCTGTCCTGGTGGGGCTGTCGGCTTCCAAACTGGGGCCCCGGTGTCACCAGGTGACTCTTTCTGCTTTGAGCCGAGCAGGCTGGAGGCAGCCGAGCACCCTGGCCTGTTTGTTCTTTTGCAGGAAGACAGCGACCCTCCGATCAGCGAGAGCTTGAGCATCGAGAACACGCTGTGGGCCGGCACTGTGGTGGCGTCAGGTGAGCCGCACCCCGAGGAATGTGGTAGCAATTTGAAAAGGAAAGAAAATCCTTTTGTAATTAGAATAATCATCTGTCAGTTGGGAAAATTAGACCTTGGTCAAACGGTGTTTTGCTCTCATTCGGCACCTCCAGGGAATGAAACTGACATCTAATTGCGGCTCAGACACTTAGAGATGTCTTCAGGAGAAGCGGGGGTGGCCTGGGGGCCTGCGCTGGCCACTCTGGGAATGGCCCTAATTGCCACTGGAGATTGACATTCTAATCTGTACCAGAGACGAAGTCAGCCTGAATGGCCTGGCAGGAAGTTGGGCCGTGGGGGCTGCTGCCCATGCACTGCCTGGGCCCAGGAAGCAGGGCGTGGGCCCAGGTTGGAGCCTTGGTGTTTGAATACCAATGTGAAGTAGAAATTGGGGACTTTCAATAGTGGATGCTGGATGACATGGAGCAGGAGGTTCCAGGAGCTGAGCATGATCTACAGTCTCCGTGGTTGCGATTGGTGGCATGCGGCCAGTGTGTCAGGCAGGGAGAGGGTGGGTCCTGCTCTCATGCCCATTTTGCAGATGAGGAGACTTAGGCCCGGGGCGGTTAAGTTACTCGCCCTGAGGTCACACAGTAGGTGAAAGGCACACTTAAACCCAGGTACTTTGTGCCAGAGGCAGAGTTTATTGGGCAGCTATTATTTTCTTATACTCTGTTTTGTAACATATTGCTAATATAATAATATAATTAGAATTGTCTGATGATTCAATCACTGGCAACTTTCTGTCTTCACAATGAGAAGACTATGTTTTTTTTTTCTTTGACAAATATATTCCCCTCTCTCTACCACCAACCCGTTTTCTTTTGCTGGATGCTTCTTTGTGGCCCTTTAGTATGACGGACACTTGATCAGAGTCTGGTGTGACAAGGGGAGGGAGTGAGCCAGCACGGGCTACACCTCAGTTACCATGTGTCACTGTTCACAGACTCACCACTTAATGCAAATGGACAGAGATTAGCTCTCCATTGAGATTTTTCTGCCACTTTTCTTTCCCACCGCTGCCTTGTATGTACAGCCCATCAGAAACATCTCTCAGTTTCCCTGATGAGCAAAGAAGTGAGAAACTGGCCCTGAAGATTCTGCAGGTCCCCGCTGGGCCCCAGAGCATGCAGCATGCGAGTGTTCACTTCCTCCCCAATTTTTCTGTTTTTAAGTCATTTATTTATTTATTTATTTATTTTTTTGAGACAGAGCCTCAAGGTGTCCCCCTGGGTAGAGTGCCGTGGCATCACAGTTCACAGCAACCTCCAACTCCTGGGCTCAAGCGAGTCTCCTGCCTCCACCTACCAAGTGGCTGGGACTACAGGCGCCCGCCACAACGCCCGGCTATTTTTTGGTTGCAGCCGGCATTGTTGTTTGGCGGGTCCGGGCTGGGGATTTGAACCCACCACCTTAGGTGTACGTGGCTGGCGCCTTAGCCGGTTGAGCTATAGGCGCCGAGCCCGTCGTTTTAGTTTTGATGTAATTGTTAATAGATTGTGTTGGTTAGGCGCTTGTTTTGGTGATAGTAACATCTCCCTAATAAATGCATTCTCATAGGCCTGATTTGCTTCTGTTCCTGCCTTCCTGCTTTCCTCTCTTTGCAGCAAACATTTATTGAGCACCTGGTGTGTGCTGGGCTCCATTGCTGGGTCCCGGAGCTATAGTGGTGCCTCAGGAGATGATGGTCCCCACCCTGGTGGGATTTATAGTGTACTAGAAGTTTAAGATCAGTGGCAGAGGAGATAGGAGGAAATGATAGAGTTTTATGTCTTTCCTCTGAAATGAGTAAAAAGGAAGAAGATGTAAGTGACAATGCAGAGATTTCTGAGGTGGAGGGATTTGAAAGGGCTCATCAGTCTTAATCTCAGAGATTCACAGTAGTAACTACCTCTTTTATTTATCAGGCACTTTTTATTCACAAAATGTTTTGCCGCCATTCTCTTGTTTGGGTCTCATAATATTGGATGAGGACGTTTAATGGAATGAGAAACAAAGTCTCAGAGAGGTTAAGCAGCTTGTCCACCATCACACAGCCTCGGGGAGGTCATCTTCTAGGAGGAAGAGAGCGGAAAGCAAAGTGGCGTCTTAAAGATGGAAGAGATTTCAAACAGGTCCTGGGAAGTACATGGTGGAGTTAGAGATGCATTTTCCCTTACCTGAATTCCTCTCTTTGTGGTTATATGGGAAGAGATAGAGAGCGAGCGAGCAGGCTCGTGCCCACACGTGTGTGTGAGTGTGTGAGCTTCAGTGCAGGTGCACTCAGGACCTGTGATGTTGTCAGCAGGCACATTTTGGTGTATGAGGAGCTGGCATTTACTGTTTCCTTAACTGGTCTCAGTGTCCCCTGCATCTCACTGAGTAAACATCCGACTTCCCCTTGATTCTAGATGTAAACACGGGGTTACACATAGCCCTTTTTTCCTGGTGCTCAACTCAAGAAGCAGCCAGCAAGAGTAATCTTAGTTACGTGAGATTCCACTTCCACCTTCCCTTTAGAATCTTAACTCCTGCTTGTGGGTCAATTCCTGATTAGCTCCTGGAAGTTAACAGGTGCCTCTGAGGGTCCGGCTGCATCAGCTGGCATCAGTCAGGAGAGGATGTAGTTGCCATGGTAACCACACACTGCTGCAGGGCTGAGGAGGTACCGCAGGGATGGGCTGGAGAAGGACAGGGGATTGGCATCTGGGATGTGGTCCAGCAGTTCTTCTCTCACGCTCAGGGAGCAGGGGCCAGTTGGTTGGGTTTCTTCCTAACCTGGTGGATTGATGTGTGGTCCTGCCTCTGTGCATGGTCACTGTGCAGCCACACTGTGTGCCCCTTGCCACATCGATGTGCTGTTGCCCCAGTGGTCTATACCCCATTCGTTGAGCTTCGTCCTCTGTACGTGCTTGGCACTGCAGCAGGGTCCAATAGTTATTTTTGGTGTGGATGAGGAATAAAGGGGTCATAGAGTCACCCTGATCCCAGACAGGACCACATCACCCTGCGGAGTTAGTGAGGACCCTGTGAAATGCCGTGAGCCCACGGACACTGGCTGGGAGGGTGGAAGGGCTGCCTGGTCTGTAGGAGCAGAGGGTGACAAGGATGTTGAGAGCAGGGGGGACTGCAGAGGTGACAGTGTAGGGAGAGAGGGGCTAGGTGGAGCAGGTCGGGCTGATAGCACTTTGGGTTGGGGAGGGCACTTTAAGGAGATTGGGCCCCATGGGGACTGCAGTGAGCTGAGAGCTTGTGCCAGTCTCATGGGGTGGCTGTCCTTCAGTACCAGTGGTTATAGCATGAGGATCATGGCCCCAGTGTCACCAGATTTTCCAATTCTCTAGGAGAAGTAGAGATTTCAATTTTTTCTGTGAAATTTCCTGAGCTTAAAGATTGGCAACTTATTCCTGACCTTGAAAGCACCATGTGGACCAAACCGGCATGGGCACAGCATGTGTTTGCTCTGGTGGCAGCCCTGGTGAGGATGGGGCTGGGGTCTGGATCTCCTGGAGGGCAGGGCTTTGGCCCCGAACACAGGGAGGCATCCAGGGGGAGAGGACATTTTCAGCAGCATTTAGTGGCAGTAAAGGGGTGTAGGATGCTCCTTTTGGGGTACCCCTTGTTACCAGGGCGCTCTTTAACTCTGGGTATCAGGGATTGTGCTCACGTAGGGGTGGACAGAGTGGTCTTGTGGCCTTCCTGAGCTCAGCTCAGCCTCGGCTCCGCTATCTGACCATCTGCTCTGGAGACAGGGGCCTGGGGTGGGGGGGTGCTGTGTTCACAGGAGCCTGCCATCTGCCGAGAAGTGGCTCCCTGGCCCACTGTCTCCCTGGCCTGCCATCTGCCGGGAGCTGCCCAGAAGGGAACCACATTGTGCGGCAGGACATTGTTCATTCGCCTGGCTGAGTGCTGTAAACTTGGGAGGGAAGTCAGTGCCTTGGGCTCTTTGTCCAGAGACCTGGTCACTGCCCTGATTTGGGGTTGGACTCCCTTCCTGCAGATGTGTTTGAACCTCCTGGAATTTGCGTCTCTCTCTGACAGGTACTCCTGAGAGTGAAGGGGAGAAAGACTGGTGTTTTCTTTTTCCAGCAGAGACCAAATTATTTGTGTTCCTGGGATCTCCCCTAAGAACTTGGCAGGGCTGGCTCCTTCTCAGGTTCCAAGTTTCAGCTCAGATGACTTGAATCAAAAGAACTTCTCTAAGCAGTGCGAACCGCACCCCCAGCCTCCCCCGCTAGAGTCCACCCCAGCTCCTCTCACTCACTGAAATGCCCAGGTTTCTTCGTTCCTTCTTTGTGTCTGTCTTCCCCACTGTATTGAGCATTGTCTTGGCACACAAGGAAAGGTAGAGGCAGGTACATTTTTGACAGATACTGCCAGGTTTCTCCCCAATTTGCTCTTCAGCCAACAGCGTGTATTACAGGAACCACTTCCTACCTCTCAGCTAACATCAGATGTTCTCTCAATCTTTTGAAATTTTGCCAATCTTACCGTGATAAAAATGGTTTATTTTGCATTTGGGGGGTTATTTACTAGATTGAGTATCTTTTCTAATGTTTACTGACCTTTTTTTTTTTTTTGAGACAGTGTTTTACTATGTTGCCCACGGTAGAGTGCAGTGGTGTCACAGCTCACAGCAACCTCTAACTCTTGGGCTTAAGCAATTCTCTTGCCTCAGCCTCCCAAGTAGCTGGGACTACAGGTGCCCGCCACAACACCTGGCTATTTTTTTTTGTTTTTTTGGTTGTAATTATCATTGTTTGGCAGGCCTGGGCTGGGTTCAAACCCACCACCCTCAGTGCATGTGGCTGGTTCCCTAGCCGCTGAGCTACAGGCACCAACTCATTTTACTGACCATTTATATTTCTTTTGTAAGTTGTTTATTTTAGAAGGATTGATGCCTTTCCTTATTATGTCTGGGGATTGGGAGAGGGTAGGGAAGTTCTCAGGAAAGAATTGTCACCTGGACAGACATTCCCCATGTGGTCAAGTTAGAGTCTGAAAGGAATCAGAATCACCAGGAAGAATGTGCTCTAAAATCAGGGTGTGTTCGTAAGTTTCCATAATAGTTTATGAAGACCAGGATTTTCTAGGCACCTTTAGAAGCCTCTAAGGCCAGTGGCACAAGGGACAAACTGCTCCTCCCCCGACTCTCCTTCTGTTAGAAGCTGCTGGACTTCTAACAGCCACAGGCCAGCGCTGACCCGCAGAACATTTGCAGTAAGGCGGTGCCCTCTCTCTCTCTGAGCTCACTGTCTCATGAGGCAGCCACTGCCCTATGTGGCTGTTTTATTTAATTTCAATTGAATTGAAATTGAAACACTCCCCTGTGGTAAGTGGCTGTCCTACAGCAGACACAGATTATTAGCCCCAGTATAAAATTTTTGACTTTCTCATGGTGTGGCTGTTAGATTTAGAAAATGTCCTCCCAAGTGGGTCGGACTCTTCTGTGTCTAAGCCTGTCTATATCAGTCTTCCTGTGTTTTGTTTTTTCATTTTAGGTACCGTTGTGGGTGTCGTTCTTTATACTGGGAGAGAACTCCGGAGTGTCATGAACACCTCGAATCCCCGCAGTAAGGTATGTAGACGGTCATGGGGTGTCACCACCAGCTGTATTCTGTTTTATTTGTGTTTTCTTTTTTGAGATACAGTCTCTCTTTGTCACCCTCAGTAGAGTGCCATGGCATCAGAGCTCACAGCCACCTCAAACTCTTGGGCTAAGTGATCCTCTTGCCTCAGCCTCCTGCCTGCTATGACACCTGGCTAGATTTTTTGAAATGGGGTCTGGTTCTTGGTCATGTTGGTCTTGAACTCCTGAGCTCAGGTAATCCACCTGCCTCGGCCTCCCAAAGTGCTAGGATTACAGGTGTAAGCCACTGTACCTGGTTTTTTTTGTTGTTGTTGTTGTTTTTTAAGACTGTCATGCTCTGTTGTTCTAGGCTAGAGTACATGGCCTCAGCCTACCTCATAGCAACCTCAAGTTCCTAGGTTCAAAGGATGCTCCTGCCTCAACCTCTTGAGTAGCTGGAATTACAGGTGCCCATCATGACGCCTGGCTAATTTTTCTGTTTTTAGTAGTGATAGGGTCTCCCTCTTGCTCAGGGTTATCTTAAACTCCTGAGCTGAGGCAGTCTTCTTGCCTCAGCCTCCCAGAGTACTGGGCTTACAGGCGTGAGCCACTGAGTCCTGCTGACCAGCTGTGTGTTGATAATTGGTGGTGGTGGGATGAGCAATGAGATGAAAAACAAGGAAGACCTACCAGGGTTCCTTTTGCCATCATGCCATCTCTTCCTGCATATAGGAGTACACACACACTCCTACACAATAATACATAAATATGTATTTACATGTCTATGACTATCTAGCAATTTTTGAAGCTTTTATGCTAGAGCAGCTCTCCTGAGGGAGAGCTCAGTTATTTGCTACGTGACGTGTTGCATCCTTGTGTGCCTCTCATTTCTGTATTTTTTTCCTTTTCATTTTTTAAATTTTGGAGATAGAGGCTCACTTTGTCGCCCTCTGTAGAGTGCTGTCATGTCATAGCTCACAGCAGCCTCAAATTCTGAGTGCTATGGTGTCGTAGCTCACAGCAGCCTTAAATTCTTGGGCTCAAGTGATTCTCTTATCTCAGTCACCCGAGTAGCTGGGACTACAGACGCCCACCACAATGCCCGGCTATTTTGAAAGATGAGTTCTTACTCTGGCTCAGGCTGATCTCAAACCTGTGAGGTCAAGCAGTCCACTCACCTTGGCCTCCGAGAGTGCTAGGATTTCAGGCATGAGCCATTGTGCCCGACTGCATGCATCTCATTCAATCCTTACAGTAGTGCTGTGAGCACAGGTGCCTTCCTGCACCTGTGAGAAACTGCCTGGCTTGACCCCACTGCCCAGCAAGGAAAGAGCAGGCCTGGGATTTAAGCCCACGCTCTGGCTGTGGCACATGAAGCCAGACCTGTCCAGTGGCCTCTGCCTCTGCTTGTTCCACACCCCCAAGCCTCCTTCAGTTTATAAGAGTCAGAGCATTGCAGAATGACGTCCTTTGTCACAGCATGAAAGAATGCCATGTCTCCCAAACGCTCTTCACCCCTCTGTTCACAGCCATCATTGTAACTAGAATGCCATTTGTTTGAGGTTTTAGCCTCATCCTGGGCTATTTCTGTGAAATTGCAGATTTGATGAGCTGGTTATACATCTATTAGAGTATATATGAAAACAAAGATATCACTATCAAAATAACAATGTTTGTCAATGAAGAACCTAAAAGTCAGGTGCCTGCCAGAGGTGTGGGCCCCACACTTTCAGGAAATGCTGAATTAGTGTGTGGCAGGGTGCTAAGGGTAGGGGCCTGGGCCATTTTATAGGCCCACTGGGTGGGGTGGTGGATGCTGTGCAGTGTATGGTTATATCCTTCTAAGTCTACATTTTCTTTGGTTATTAAACAAATTTTGAAATCAGAATTCTTTGAAGTTCCTTGGACGTTGGCTTTGAACTCTAGCCACGGAAACCCAGTATGCTCAGACCAAAGCTAAGAGGATCAAGAAATCCCACCATATTCCCTGGGGTGGGAACAGCTGCCCAGGGAGGCTGCGGGTTGCACCCAGTCCCCTTAACCCCTTCCTTCTTCTTCCCCCAGATCGGCCTGTTTGACCTGGAAGTGAACTGCCTCACCAAGATCCTCTTTGGCGCTCTGGTGGTGGTCTCGCTGGTCATGGTTGCCCTTCAGCACTTTGCCGGGCGCTGGTACCTCCAGATCATTCGCTTCCTCCTCTTGTTTTCCAACATCATTCCCATCAGGTAAGCAGGGGACAGGCCCCGGTTAGGTGCCGTGCTGTTTTCTTCTTTTGCTCATTCACACATCTTCGTTTGGTGACTTTCTAGGGAGCTAGTCTCTTGGGTGATGACCAAAGACAGTCAGAGTCAGGAGTGTAGCTACAGCACTGGAAGGGAGCGAACTTTCTTGAATCACACTCTGCTCAAAAGGTCTTTCCTGACCGTGACCAGCCCGTGGTAGGGGTTCATCTCGTCGGCCAGCTCTGCAGGGGCGTTGGAGGGCTGTGCTGCACAGGTGTGCAGGGAGCTGGGGGCCCCGTGGCAGTTGTTTGCCTTCCTGATTTAGAGGCTCAATAAATGGATTTTTAAAATGATATAAGTAGTGGATTGTCCCAGTAGGAAAAAAACGAAGATCCACATTTATGAAAGAAGAAAATAAAAATTACCTGGGCGGCACCTGTGGCTGAGGGAGTAGGGCACTGGTCCCATATACCGAGGGTGGTACGTTCAAACTCAGCCCTGGCCAAACTGCAACAACAA